TATATATATATATATATATATATATATATATATATATATATATATATATATATATATATATATATATATATATATATGTATATATATATATATATGTTCTAGAGTGTGTATTATATAATTTCCATACCCAGCGCAAGCAGAAAGATGTTGTCTGCCCCGGCTGGGTTTCGAACCCGCGACCTAGCGCTTTTTGCCATGCACTCGAACATAAAATCCATATCTCTTTGCAACCGTCTAATATCCTATATATAAAGTTAATATTACTGAGTAATATCCTGTTGAAACATATAACACTTATACTATGACTATAGTGACGTATTGACTATATTACATACACTATTGTTGTTTGTTTGACTCATTCCGTGCTTTGCATCAATTACTGACCATTGGAGCCAAAGGTTATGAATGTAACAATTTACTTTATTATATGTGATAATTCTTACAATCATACCTTTACAAGCTGTTTACCATGCCTGTGAGCATCACAACAGAAGTTGCAGGTTCAACCATATACAAACCATATAAAATTAAATCAGAATTTGTTCAGTGTGTGAAGCATTGATTGCCATACAGATACTTGATCATCCAGTTTTATAAACAATATATTACCAAGCTGATAACCCCAAATAAGTGATGAATTTCAGATTTTGCAATTTTGATTAATGACTGTATAAGGGTTAAAACTTGCATTGGCATGATTAATGTCATTAATTAAGTATGCTGACAGCCTGACCAAGCGCATTCCATCTCTGAGATTGTGGGTTCGACTCTCACTTCTTGTTCTTGTTTGATCAAGCAATGAATGTTGAGGAAACTCTCATGTAAACTCTCGCTTGTCAACTCTCATGTAACTCTTGTTCTCGTTTGATCAAGCAATGAAAGTTGAGAAAACTCTCATGTAAACTCTCGCTTCTCAACTCTCATGCAACTCTTGTTCTCGTTTGATCGAGCAATGAATGTTGAGAAAACTCTCATGTAAACTCTCGCTTGGACTCTCATGTAACTCTTGTTCTCGTTTGATCGAGCAATGAAAGTTGAGAAAACTCTCATGTAAACTCTCGCTTCTCAACTCTCATGCAACTCTTGTTCTCGTTTGATCAAGCAATGAAAGTTGAGAAAACTCTCATGTAAACTCTCGCTTCTCAACTCTCATGTAACTCTTGTTCTCGTTTGATCAAGCAATGAAAGTTGAGAAAATTCTCATGTAAACTATCGCTTCTCAGCTCTCAATTCAGGGGCGGATCCAGGGGGTATCGAGTGTAGCTCAAGATACGGTCAGATTTTTCCGATTATGCATACTAAAATAGTTTGGGGGAAAATTTCAATATTAATATATTTTTACGCAATTCATTTCTGTTTACAAAAATAGTGAAAATTTGAGTTTACTAAGATGAACGAGGGCAAATTCTTTCGTAAATTTTAAAATTCACAGCTCTAAATGTAACATTAGAGGTGTTTTTAAAGCATTGAATTACTTTCGACGAAGATGAGCCGAGAGCTTTCCGAAGGCATAACCCGAGGTTACGTAACCCGATCGGAAAAATGTTATTAAATGCGTCTGCGGTGTTCTGATACGGTCCGCGGTTCAAATGTTACTAAAAATAGTAACTTAATGAGGTATTTGTATACCTTGGAGGGTATCCAGCCAATCACAGGACGTGTATCTATGACGTCGGATACCCTCTGATACTGTGGCTGTATTTTGATTGCGCAAGAAATGAAATAATCGTGAACCGCTCGGAAACTTCGTCTCATATTGCTAACAGCCGCATTTCTTCTAACGTAACTGAGCACGAACTGAGCATAGTCATGCGTGATGGCCTTACATAATTTCAGAAGACGTCCTTGAAATAACACTTTATAAATAGTGTATTGGATGCCAATTAGAACAAGACTATTACGAAAAGGATATGTCCGAAGGGGCCGAAGTTATGTTCGGCGAAAGGTATGGCTAGTTTACATTGTTCGAGAAAATTGAGTAATATAGTGAAATATATGATATTGTTTGACCTCTCAAAGTTCATAAATCGCTATAGGCCTATTGACTAAAACTATCGTTAGGAATTAGGCCAGAATCATGGGCTCAGAACGCAGGAAATGATTAGGCCAGAATCATGGGCTCGGAACGCAGGAAATGGCATTTCCGGGGTTCAAATTTCAAAAAATTTCTCCGATGCAACTCTTGTTCTCGTTTAACGATGGTTTTATTCATATTCATTTCATTTTCTAGGAAATATGGCTTTAAACACAGTGATCGCATTCACGACAATACTGCTGTCAATATTCGTGGTTACAATTTTTGCGAGCGAACAAAACAAACCCGGCCAATTATATAAGTTATGTGGCAACGATTTTATCGCGGCCTATCAGGATTGCTGCGATTATGGTTACCCAGCGTGTGCCAGTATGGCCTCAAGTGATGGCAATATTGAGGCCCTGGAACCAGTGCCGGACCCATGTGAGGGCAAATTGAAGGCTCTGGAGAGAAGAGGTGAGTGGAATGGGTACGTTTACACACCTTAACTTGGAGGTGGGAGTATAAATAGTAGGGGGCGAGGTGGCCAACATGGTCATGAGTACGGAGGGTAGGATTGAAGTCGTGGGGGTTGACATATTAGGGCAAAGAGGTCCCCATGCAGCATGTGCCCTTACTCCTCACTATAAGGCGGTCTAAAATGTGTATATAGAATTCGCTCGAAATATGCATCCATGCAAAAGCCTTCAACTCACAATGATGTTGCTTCTACCAACAGGTAAGCGACATGTGATCATGATGCCATCGAGAGTGGCCAAACATTTCCTGGGTTCACGATGGAAGCGCGACCTGGGCCATACTGCTGTGATGGAGGAATGCTGTAACGAGGGCTGTTCTTACAAAGAGATTGCCGAGTATCCATGTTTCAGCTGAGCCACGTCAAGTGATTGACATAAATAGACAAATTATTGTTATTATTGTTGTTATTAATATTATTATTGTTGTTATTATTGTTATTGTTATTATCATTATTATTATTTATTATTATTATTATTATTGAAACGTTTCACAATCAAAAGCTGAAAGCCAAATTATAATGTGAATTAATTAACAATTATATGCTATTTGAATACAAAATGTTCATATTACAAGTAAATTTTGCCCCGAGGGAAATATCATCACTGAGGGTAATATTTCGCCGAATCCCCGGAGCGGAGGGTCTATAAATGATATATTATACCGAAAATTAAAGGCCTCCAAGTTGAGAATTAAAAACTTGACACATACCTTCGTGAATACGATGTTTTATTTTCGGATTTCGGAATATCGTTTGGAATATTAATGACAATATTTTTCAAAATTTGCTTCAAAATTTTGAAAAAGCACCATGTTTTACGTTTAATAGAATTATTCATCACTCAGTTATAAATACTATTACGAAGTGACTAGATGACCGGCAGCCGGCTATCTAGTAAACTGCCGGCTATATAATGACTATAATTAAAGTTGAATTTTTATAAAATAAACCGTTCCCTAACCCCAAACCCTCTTCTAACCCCTAACCCCTAACCTAACCTTTTGAGAGTTAAAAAGGCGGAGAAAAAGTTGAAAAATTTTTAAGAAAAAATATGCTAAGTCAGACGTTAAAAACAACAACCCGACCCCGACTGGGTTTCACTTTCCGCACGCAGCGCCTTTGCCGTATGCGCTAACAGCAAGCTCGGTAAAACAAGTGCAAACAAATATTTTTATATGTAACTATAGTCATTATATAGCCGGCAACTGTTTACTAGATAGCCGGCTGCCGGTCATCTAGTCACTTTGTACTATTTATGTTTTGTCGGCCATCTTGTTGTTATGCGTGTTGTCCCGCGTGGTCTACGCGCATAATGTTCCACCCCATGTTCCCCGGGGAACATGGGGTGGAACCTCTGGGGTGGAACATTGTCAAAAGGAACGCAGGTTCGCTAATTGATGACGTAAGGCGTGATATCGCGATTAATTTCATGCTCACGTGCCACAAACTAAGCCTCCTGATTGGACAATTTGAAGTTGAGGCATAATATTATATTTAAAACAATAAAATACTGAGGTAAAAATTAATCTACAACTAACTAACAACTGTGCCACTTAAAAGGGCATAAAAGTATATACGTTCAGTCCATTGACAAAAACAATTTGATTATAATTATAAACGATTATATTTGCTAAAAGTTCTTAAAAGCTATGGGGCACTGGAAAAGGACTTAAAGGCGTTTTATACATCTGTAATTAGATCAGTAATTGAATATTACCACAAACAATCGCTATGGTCAAAGACTTTGCCTAAAAGCGTGGCATATAAATATGAGTCATCATGCTTTGAATAGGGATGACGGCGCCTATTTGCCAGAAGAATATATGCATCTTCTTGGCAGGTGACGTCATCCCTTGGGTATTTAAGAAGCCACGATCGCAGTTTTAGATCACCCCTGATGAAGACACTAGACTGGAGTGTCGAAACGTTGGGTGTTGATTACAATTCGACTGGGCTTTGTAATCATTTATTTAAACCAGAGTAGCGAGCGAAACATGATCTTCAAAGAAATTTAATAAGCCGTTTTAGTCGATTTTTTCGCCAATTTTCAAACCGAACTTTGGCTAAAAACATTTATATCTCGCCCAATATTATTATTATTATTATTATTATTATTATTCAATGAAGTATTCCCGGAGAGGGTTTTTCAATACCTATTTACAGAAACGATTAGTTATATTAAAATTCCTATTTATAGCTTTTATTTAAAATCTATTTGTCAGATAGGGGCAGATCTATTTGTCAGATCAGGAGCAGTTGTTCAAAGCTGGGTTAGCTTAACCCTAGGTTAACCTAAAATTCAAAGCAAACTTCCTGACAGCTTGTCTGTAAATTTGAAAATATTTCTTCAGTGATCTTGTCTGGATCAGTAGGAGTTTTACATCTCTGAAGTTTTGAAATAAACAGACGTGCAGAAATACACAAACTAAGAAGTATATTTACATATTTATCATTTATTTAAAATCTATTAAATCTATAGTATCAGAAAATGTAATTAATTGTTGTTTAGCATCTTCTGCTTTAACTCAGTTTTTAGTCTTTTCCAAGGTAACTTTTTAAGGTCTTCATCCAAGTCATTCCATAAGTTCACCGCTCTGTAATAAAAGGTTCTTTGTCCTGAAACTGTTTTGTGTTGAGGGATGTGTAACGCTTTATTATTCCTTGATTTTAGAACGTGAATTTCATTTCTTTTTATAAATAATTTGGACAGATAAGGTGGTGCTAATCCGTTCATACATTTGTATGTTATTAGTGTGTCTCTATATTTTAAGTGTTCCTCTACAGGAAACCAGCGAATTTTCCGTAGTGCTGGTGTTACATGATCATATCTTCCCGTATTTGTCAATATCCTACAAGCAAAATTCTGTACTGCTCTCAATTTCTTTATATTTGTCGCAGAACTGTTTGACCTAATAAAGTTTGCTCATTACTAAAGCATTGATAATTAAGGTTACAGAACACCTTTGAGTGATAATTTTGCCTAAATTTTTTTATTGGTCCCGATGAAAGCATTAGACTAGTTCTACTATCTGACCAAGTTTGAACGAAAAATGTTGAAAACTCGCAGAGTTATTTAATAAAATACATTTCGCTTGCAATAAGAAAATCATTGAAAATGTAATATTGAAATTCAATTTTCTCCCGGCAATTACTGATTTTTAAACGAGTTGTGCTCCTGCGGGTTTTAACGAATTTCTCTCAAATTTTTACAGGACATAGCTAAAGACGTCAGTTTCAAAACTGTGTTCGGCTTTGTTCTAATTTTAGATATTTTAATAATAAAGAGCAATTCACTCAAACAATTCAGAAATATATTGCAGTCGTCAAAGAAATCGCCATGTCAACGGAATGACGAAATAAACAAAAATTTCCGAACACAATTTTTTAAAACAACTATTTTACTGTTTAAAAATGATATTTTCATAAATATATCTTAAAACCAGCAGGAGCACAACTCAAAAGCGTAACGGTACCGCGATTTAAGATTTTCCTGAATAATTCTTACATTATTTTATTGTTTGTTAATTTTATAACTTTACCATATATTTTGCATGCACTGGCGAGCATTTGGTGAAAATTTGATGAAAATCGGACTGATTTTGAGCGCGCAGTAGCGATTTTCCGCAAAACGCCAAAAAGGGTGTCCTGTAACCTTAAGCGAAGACTATCATCCCTATTAAAGCTATTCTTTACTCTGTTTATCTGACACAGCTTGGCCATACAAGATGGTACAACTTTTTGATATGGTAATCGTATGTCAGATAACTGTCTAGGGTTAATCCCAGGACTTTGGCATTTGTGGTTGGTGTAATCTCTTCACCAAGAAATGTAATTACCGTCTCCTCAAGGAGCTTACCTAGCAGTTGACGAGTTCCTATCAAGAGTAACTTTGTCTTCTCGGGGTTTATCAACAGTTTATTTTCGAAGAACCAAGCTGCGACCAATTTGAGGTCCTCCTCTATCTTTGTTTTTGCACTAGCAATATCTTCAATTGGATCCGGAAATGACATAAAGATCTTAGAATGGTCGACGAATGATTCCAACTCAGATGCTTGTGGTATTCTTGAGAGGTCATTTATATAGATGCAGAACAATAGCGGTGACAATATTGCTCCCTGAGGCACTCCGCGAGTGATTGGTAAAACGTCGGATACCGAGGAGCCAATGCGAACGAACTGCTTTCTATCTCATGTAACGTAGCTTTCAAACCAGTTAAGGGCTTCACCTGAAATTCCAATATTGCTTAGTTTCTTTAACACGATTGAATGGTCCACGCTGTCAAACGCTTTTGAGAGGTCCAAAAGGACTAGAGCAGTAAGCTTTTTGTTGTCCATCGATTTTAGCAAAAAATCATTGGCTAATATACTGAGTGTTTCGGTTGAATGTTGTTGATTTTTGTTGGGAGGATAGGCGGTCAGTGCGGTTAAGAAAACCGCTAAATTTATTTAGAGCAACTTTTTCGCAGATCTTTGATAGTTCTTTAAGCATTGAAAGTGGGCGGTTATTTGCAGCAACTTCATGATCACCTTCCTTTAAGAGTGGTATAATTTCTGCTATTTTCCAGGACTCAGGGAACGCCGAAGTGGTAAATGAGTTATTAATGATGTCTGTCAATGGGCCGAGTATGACCGAAAGACAATCCTTAATAATCCGCATGCTGATTTTGTCTGGTCCTGCATGGAGATTTATTCGACGGCATTGTTGTTATTATGCATTGCACCTCTGTGCATCAGTGTGACGGGAGTGAACTTGAACAATTCCGTAGAGAAGAGTTCAGATCTCCTATTATGAGGCTCTAACTCAGTTGATATATTTAAATTATTTTGTAGGGCTAACATTTCAGCTGTTTCAGCAGCTCTTTTTCCCACAGATTGAAAGAACTGGTTGAAATCGTTGGCTAAACCTATTAAATATTAATCACTTTCCACAACGATCTAGAATGATCTTTATGGGGGTTAACTTCAGTTCGAACGTGTTGTTTTTCAGCAGTTTTTAGAGTGGATTTGACTCGGATCTTTGGGCGTTTTTAAATGCTCTCCAATCATCGATATCACGTGTTCGTTTGTAACGACGGTGGAGTTGTCTCTGAGGGACATTTGGTTTTTGATATCTGTTGTGATAAAGGGACAAGAGCGATTTTGGATCTTAGTTGTTCTAACTGGAGCATGGACAACTAAAGTTGTAAGAAGGACGTTGTTAAAATTGTCGAGTTTCGAATTGACATTGGAATCCGTAAAGATGAAAATAAGCTCTTGCGATCTTGATGCAAGATGGGCGGTAAACCTTTCTCCGTCGTAGTCCTTGTAGCTTCGCGTTCGGACTGATATATTGAGGTGGTGGCTTGGGTAGCTTCATA